CCCTGTCCCAGTCCACTGATAAGGGAGGTCCTCCTCCCCTTCCCTCTTATCCTAGTCTATCAGGACTCATCAGTAGTGGTTGCATTTTATTCCTCTGTGACCTGGTAAGGCTGCTACCTCCCCTAGGGGGAGGTGATCAAAGAGCAGGTGAATCAGTTCCTGTCTGAGACCGTCCCTGTCCCCATTACTATGGAACCCACCTGGACATTGAGATGTCATGGGCTGCCTGTGTGCAGGGGTTCCAGGACATCTCCATGAGTGGTCCCTGGCTGGAGTATCAGTGTCAGAAAAGACCCCTGTGCCCATACTTTTTGGATCTGTTGCTCTCCATGTGGAGCTCCTGTCCCCTCCACGTCTTACTATCCCCCTCTTCTTTCATAAGATTCCCTACACTCTGCCCAAAGTTTGGCTATGAGTCACAGCATCTGCCTTGATACCCTGCAGGGTGGAGCTTTTCAGAAGCCCTCTATGGTAGGCTCCCGTCCTGTTCCATTTTCTCCCTCCTCCAATGTCCATCCTCTTTGCCTTTCTGAATGGGGATTGAGCATCTTAGCCAGAGTCCTCCTTCTTGATTAGCTTCCTTAAGTGTACAGATTTTAGTATGTTTATCCTATATTATATGTCTAATATCCACTTATGAGTGAATATATACCATGTATGTCTTTCTGCTTCTGGGATACCTCACTCAGGATAAACTTTTCTAGATTCCACCACTTGCCTGCAAATTTCATGGTTTTCTTGTTTTTAATTCTGAGCAGTATTCCATTGTGAAAATGTGCCACAATTTCTGTATCCATTCCTCTCTTGAGGGACATCTGGGTTGTTTCCAGGTTCTGGCCCTTACAAATAAAGCAGCTACAAACATGGTTGAGCAAATGTCCTTGTTGTATACTTGATCATTTTTTGGCAAATGCCTAGGAGTGGTATAGATAGATCTATTCCTAATTGTCTGATAAAGCACCAAATTGATTTCCAAAGTGGTTGTACAAGTTTACATTCCCACCACAGTGGAGGAGGGTTCCCCTTTCTCCATATCCTCTCTAGTATCTGTTGTTACTTAAATTTTTGATGTTAGCGATTCTGTTGGGTGTAAGGTGAAATCTCAGGGTTCTTTTTTTATATTCTCTTTTATTAGTAATTTTTAATATTTTCTTTGTTAATTACATTTATTCACTTTGTATCCCCCCTGTGGTTCCCTCCCCATCCCAATCCCTCCCTTCCTTCACCCTCTGAATGCATGTTTCTCCCCAAGTCCACTGATAGGAGAGGTCTTCTTTTCTTTCCTTCTGATCCTAGTCAATTAAGTCTCATCAGGAGTGGCTGCATTGTCTTCTGTGGCCTGGTAATGTTGCTTCCCCCTCAGGGGGAGGTAATTAAAGAGCAGGCCAATCAGTTCATGTCAGAGACAGTCCCTGTTCCTATTACAATGGAACCCACTTGGATACTGAACTGCCATGGGCTACATCTGTGTAGGGGTCTTAGGTTATCTCCATGCATAGTCCTTGGTTGTAGTATCAGTCTCAGGAAAGACCCCTCTGCTCAGATTTTTGGTTCTGTTGCTCTCCTTGTGGAGTTTCTGTCCTCTCCAGATCTTACTGTTTCCCACTTCTTTCCTAAGATTCCCTGCACTCTGCCCAAAGGTTGTCCATAAGTCTCAGCATCTACATTGATAGTCTGCAGGGCAAAGCCTTTCAGAGGTCCTCTGTGGCAGGCTTCTGACTTGTTCCCTCTTTTCTCCTTCTTCTGATGTCCATCCTCTTTGCCTTTCTGGAAAGAAATTCAGCATTTTAGCAAGAGTCTTCCTTCTTGATTAATTTCTTTAGGTGTACAGATTTTATAAGGTTTATCCAATATTATATGTCTATATTAATGAGTACATACCATGTGCATCTTTCTGCTTCTGGGATAGCTCACTCAGAATGATCTTTTCCAGATCCCACCATTTACCTGCAAATTTCATGATTTCCTTTTTTTTTTTTTACTGCTGAGTAATATTACATTTGTATATATACCACAATTTGTGCATCCATTCCTCCACTGAGGGGCATCTGGGCTGTTTCCAGTTTCTGGCTATTACAAATAAGGCTACTACAAACATGGTTGAGCAAATGTCCTTATTTTGTACTTGAGCCTCTTTTGGGTATATGCCTAATAGTGGTATAGCTGGATCTTGAGGAAGTGCTATTCCTAATTGTCTGAGAAAGCACCAGATTGATTTCCAGAGTGGTTGTACAAGTTTGCATTCCCACCAGCAGTGGAGGAGGGTTCCCCTTCCTCCACAAACACTTCAGCATGTGTTGTCTCTTGAGTTTTTGATCTTAGCCATTCTGATGGGTGTAAGGTGAAATCTAGGGTCATTTTGATTTGCATTTCCCTGATGGCTAATGAGGTTGAGCATTTCTTTATGTGTTTCTCTGCCATTCAATATTCCTCTATTGAAAATTCTCTGTTTAGCTCTGTACTCCATTTTTTAATTGGATTGCTTGATTTGCTGCTGTTTAACTTCTTTAGTTCTTTATATATACTGGATATTACTCCTCTGTCAGATATAGGGTTGGTGAAGTTTCCTTCCCAATCTGTAGGCTGTCGTTTTGTTCTGAGGACAGTGTCCTTTGCTTTACAAAAGCTTTTCATTTCAGGAGGTCCCATTTATTGATTGTTGCTCTTAGAGCCTGTGCTGTTGGTGTTCTGTTCAGGAAGTTGTCTCCTATTCAAGGCTCTTCTCCACTTTTTCTTCTAAGCGGTTTAGTGTGTCTGGTTTTATGTTGAGGTCTTTGATCCACTTGGACTTTAGTTTTGTGCAGGGTGAGAAGTATGGATCTATTTGCACTTTTCTACATGTAGACATTCAGTTAGACCAGCACCATTTGTTGAAGATGCTGTCTTTTTTCCATTGAATGGATTTGGCATCTTTGTCAAAAATCAGGTGTCCATAAGTGTGTAGATTCATGTCAGGGTCTTCTATTTGATTCCATTGATCCACCAGTCCATTTCTATGCCAGTACCATGCAGTTTTTAGTATTGTTGCTCTATAGTACAGCTTGAGATCAGGGATGGAGATACCTCCTGAAGATCTTTTACTGTAGAGAATTGTTTTAACAATTCTGGGTTTCTTGTTGTTCCATATGAAGGTGAGAATTTTTCTTTCAAGGTCTGTAAAGAATTGTGTTGGTAATTTGAAGGGAATTGCATTGAATCTGTAGATTGATTTTGGTAAGATAGACATTGTTGTCATGTTAATCCTGCCAAACATTGAGCATGGGAGATCTTTGCATCTTCTAATATCTTCTTCTAATTCTTTATTCAGAGACTGGAAATTTTTTTCATACAAGTCCTAGACTTGCTTGGTTAGGTTCACACCAAGATACTGTATGTCCTTTGTGGCTATTGTGAAGGCTGTTGTTTACCTAATTTCTTTCTCAACCCTTTTGTCTTTCCTATGGAGGAGGGCTGCTGATTTTTTTAAATTTTGTATCCAGTCACTTCGCTGAAGGTGTTTATATGCTATAGGGGTTCCCTGGTAGAATTTTTGCCGTCACTTAGGTATACTATCATATCATCTGCAAATAGTGATAATTTGACTTCTTCCTTTCCAATTTGTATTCCCCTGATCTCCTTTAATTTTCTTATTACTGTAGCAAGGACTTCCAGAACTATGTTCAAGAGTATGGGGAGATTGGGCAGCCTTGCCTTGTCCCTAATTTCAGTGGGATTGATTTAAGTTTCTCTCCATTTAGTTTGATGCTGGCTATAGGCTTGCTGTATATTGTCTTTACTATGTTTAAGTATGTGCCTTGTATCCCTGATCTCTCCAATACTTTAAACATGAATGGATGTTGGATTTTGTCAAATACTTTTTCAGCATCTAAGGATATTATCATGTGTTTTTTTGTCTTTCAGTTTGTTTATGTGTTGGATCACATTGATGTATTTCCATATATTGAGCCACCCCTGCATACCTGGGATGAAGGCAAGGCTACATTTTAATCAAAGCATGAAGAAATTAGAGAGGTGAACCTGACTATTCAGTTTTCTCCAAAAAGGAGTTGGTGATTACATTAAAACTTGTGTTTCAGAAAATAAGGGGAAGAAACACCAGAAACATGTGAAAATGTTGTAAATGAAGTATACATTTCCAGTGTTGTCAGTATCATGGTTTTGGTTTTACACTTGTGTGGATATTTAGATTCCATTGACCGACAATGATGTGCACATGAACTTTACTCGAGAAGAATGGGCTTTGCCGGATCCTTCCCAGAGGATTCTCTACAAAGATGTCATGGTGGAGACCTACATAAAGCTTTTGGCTATAGGTACAACAGTGAATTTTCTTCACTTTTTAAAATAAGGGTCAAACACTTTCTCCATTATTGATGCTCTTCTGTAATTTCAATTGTGCATGAGGAGGAATGAGGTGAATGGTTCTATCATTGACCATAGATAGTGACTCAAATTTTGCCTAATTTCCAATAACACATGCATATATTTTAAGCTCTACTTGGGAAGATCATAATACTGAAGAGCATTGTTAATGTTGTAGAAGACTTGGAAGTTAATTTTTCTGTGCATGCTTATATGAATATGGCTCTGAAAAAATTAATATGCCCTGGAAGTTTGAAGGAAAAGCAATAGTGTAACAGAACTGCTATAAGTGTATTTATTGATGATTACTAACTTGTTACCAAACCATGTATGCCAATGTCAGGTATTTGATTTTTGTTTGCAAGGAACTCCTAAAGAAAGAATGCAAGGAATGAATACCTTACAAGATCACCATTTAAATCATAGACCCACTAGTGCTATTCTGTAGAACTGCAATTTGTTTAGTCTTGTATAACTCAGATATGGCAAAAGTTATTCATATAAAATAGATTATGAAAGTATGTGCAAAACCTTATACTGAGGAAATAGTCCATTCCTATAGACCAAAGTTTGGGAATATTCAAACTTTTAGTTATGTTGCTAATTTTCATGAGAAGAGGAGTTTTTTTAGAGTTAAGAATGTTGTTGTAGAAAAACCATAATCCCTATACCACATATCTATGACGAACAAAAATCAAACTGTGTGAATGCAGTGTGATACCATGTCATTTATTATTCTTCTTTTAATAGGTATATCATATGTCACAATGAATACAAGCCATGTTAGCATAGGGATATTGAAAGAAGCAATGTACCTGCCAAACAATTAAAAGATATATAATAGTCCCCACTTTAAGTAGATTTTTAAAATGTAATACCTGTTTATGATTTATATGGGATTTTCAGACATTCCAGCAGTACAAATAATGACACAGAGGCTTTTTTAATATTTTAAAGTTTAGGCAATTTAGCTGGGCAGATCCTTAGCCAGCTTTCTACCTTAACCCAAATCAACCCAGCATGTTGTCCTTCTGCATGGCCAGCTCTACCTCTTTGTTCCTGTTCATGTCCATCTGTTAACCTCAGTGTACAGCTGGTGAATTGCCTGTTTTTTTTTCCCTTTTTTCACCCAGAAACTCTCACTCAGAAGTTCTGCCATCCATTGTGTGCCCTGCTATCAGTTACCAGGACTTTATTATTTCCAATAGACAAGTACAGAAGGACAAATGTTTACAAAATAGATGACAGGTGATGGGTGATAGAAAGAACAATACTAAGATCTGGTGAGCACTTAGCTCTCTGCTGGCTCAGCAATCAACATTCCCATATACTAACACACTTTCACACAATATACACCAACATCAGTTAATTGGTTATTCAACTTCATTAAGATTACTCACAAACTCACATTGTAGAAAAAATTTAATTTTAGGAATGTGGAAGTTCTTCTATTTCTCCCAGTTATCTTTGCAAATGTAGCATGGCTCACAGTATAGGGAAATTTATGAAGCCAGTCAGTGTGCTAAAGCTCTGAGGTCCTGCAGTTTTCTACAAATATGTGGTAAAACATCTTATAGAGGAAAAATATAGTATTAACATGAGCCAGGTAATAAGTATGTTTACCATCACAGGTATTTTCAAATATGCAAAACAACCCATAGAGTAGAAGAACACCATGAATATAACATTAGTGATGAATCTCAAGATTCAATTCCTCTTTACTTTTATACCAAATTATAAAATTAATTGGCATGTATAAAAAGATTCATCAAAGTAGTGACTGTGGTAAAGCTTTCATATGTGCCAGTTATCTTTGCAGGTATGAAAACAGTCATAGGGGAGAGAAACCCTCTGAAGATATTCAATATGGTGAAGTCTGCACACCACAGTCGTCCTCACACATAAAAAAGAATGCATACCGGTGAGGAGCTCTATGAATGTAACTTATATGGTAAAGCTTGTGCATATAATAGTAAACTTCAAATGTATGAAAGTATTCATGTTGGACAGAAACCCCACAAATGTAATCAATTTGCTAAAGCCTTTGCAAACAACAGTTGTCTCCTAATACATAAAATAACCCATATTGGAAAGAAACCTCATGACAACGTGGTAAAGCCTGTGCATGTAATGGCACTCTCCTAATACATAAAAGAACTCACACTGGAGAGAAACCTTATGAACGTAACCAATATGATAAAGCCTGTGCACATAATACTACTCTCCTAATACATAAAAGAAATCACACTGAAGAGAAACATTATGAATGTAACCAATGTGAGAAAGCCTTTGCACATAACAGTCATCTGGTATTACACAAAAGAACACACACTGGAGAGAAGCCTTATGAATGTACCCAATGGGGTAAAACCTTTGAATGTCAGAGCAGTCTCTGAAAACATAAAAGAACATACACTGAAGAGAAACCTTATGAGTGTACCCAATGTGATGAGTCTATGCATTTTAGAGTAGTTTCTGAAAACAAAAGAATATTCATTGGAGAAAAACCTTATGAATGTAATCAGTGTGGTAACACCTTTGTACAACACAGTCATTACTTAATACATAAAAAATGTATAATGGAGAAAATCATTATGAATATAACTAATGTCCTAAAGGCTTTTCATGTAGTAGTCATCTCCTAAGGGAAGAACACATAGTGGAATGAAAACTTGTGACTATAAGCAATGTGGAGTCACATTGCATGCCATAATAATCTACACATACATACTATATACATAAAATAACACACACTGAGTGAAACCTTGTGAATGTGACCAATATGGTAAAACTTTTGCTCTTCAGAATCATCTTCAAACTCATGAAAGAATTCATACTGGACAGAAAGACTATGAGTGTATTTAACATGGTGAAGCAATTCCACATTTGTATAATCTTCATCACCATGAAAGAATTCGTACTGGAGAAAACTCTTATGAATGTGTTATAATGTGTGGCTTTTGCAGCTGTCTATATTCCTCATCATCATAAAAGTTTCATATGGAGAGAAATTCTGTGAATATAAGCAATTTGGTAAGGCCTTTGTTTTCTTTAGTCCACTGAATCCAATACAACTCAAATACTCGGTCTATGCAAATGACAAAAATTTATTGTCATCCAAGCACTACTACTTGATGAGGGCCACATAACATTCTTCGGAGCTGAACTGTGACACTTACCTATCCTCTGAGCCAGAAAGTGACAGAGGTTCTGAGCTTGAAAATCGTAAATGTTTGTGCCATTTTACAACTAATTTTTTTTCATCAATCAGGGATCAGGGATATGGGAATTGTTTATCTCATTGATGTTTTCACCTGATGCAAGATGTAGGTTTTACAGTCCAACCAATAATGTCCATTTGGTTTTTTTTGTTTTGTTTTGTTTTGTTTTGTTTTGTTTTGTTTTTGTGGTTAGGAAACAGTATTATGTTTTAGGCAAGAGAAACTGTGGTTTGGGGCAGTCATTATACTAGGGGAACAGCAGCCGTGGCATAGAACCATCACATTTTGAGGAACAAAAGATGAATACTGAAACCTGGTCAGCTGTTGGGAAGTCTGCAGTTTTCCTAGGGACTATGAACTTAAACTCAGGTTCACTCTATGATAAAACAGAGGCTGATATCTAAAAGGCACTGCTTAGGATGAATTTCTTTGACATGTTCACACATGCAAATTACTTTTGCATGTTTGGCATATCACAGTAATCTTCGAATACCTAAAAGAATAGATAAGAGAGAGAAATCTTACACATGTAATCAATGTGATAAAGCCTTTTCTTAACACAGTTATAAAAAAACACACACTGCAGTGAAGCCCTATGAATAAGCAATGTGGTAAAGCCTCATGGAGTTGTCTTTGAAATCATGATAAAAAGTCATGCTGCAGAGAAACCCCATGAACGTTGTCAGTATGGTAAACTTTTGTGCATCATTGTACCATTATAAAAGAGTAAAAGCTTTAGCAACCTATTAAAGTCTTTGCATATCACAGTAATCTTTGAGAACATGAAAGAACTCATTCTGAAGTAAATCTATTAAGATAAAAGATTTGTTGAGATCTTTGACCAACCAACTTGCATTCAGTTACATGAGAGTATGGGGGGTATTCTAACAAGTTTCAACAATGTATTCATGCATTATGACATCCATATTTATTTTGTTTCCAATTGAAAGCTCATGTGGAAAAAAGGCCTATGAATTTAAACAATAAGGTAACTGTTTTAGATTTCAAAATCCTCTTCAATTACATGAAATAAATCAGCCAGTTGTAATATTTATGGGTGTGTATTAGTGCCTTTTCTGTGACAAAACACAATGTCTAAGGCAACTTTCAAATGTGTTTACTTTGCCTTATATGGTTCCAGAGGGATATGGATTCACTATGAAATGGCCATCACTACTGTCACATATGACAGCTAAAGTAAGAGGCTTAGAACTCACATCCTTCACCTGCCAACTGAAGCAGAGAGTGGAAAGTACAAATGATATGCAGTTGAAAACTATCAAGCCCACCCCAAGTAATATAGTTCCTCCAGCAGGGCTGCTTTTCCTAAACATTCCCAAATGATACCACCAACAAAGAAGGATTTGTTTCTCTGACTTCAAGCCTACATGTTTGATTTCTGTTATATGAAGGAATTCATGATGAAGAAATACTGTGTAGAGAAGCCTGTAATGCCTCAACACCTGAGTTATAAGAATGAGTGCTTACACAAGAAAACCATTCATGAGTAAACATATATTTAAGAAATCAATCTGATGCTTTCTCGGACAATTAGGAATAGTGCTATCTCAAGATCCAGCTAAACCACTTCTAGGCATCTATCTAAAAGATGCTCAAGTAGACAACAAGGACATTTGCTGAACCATGTTCATAGCAGCCTTATTTGTAATAGCCAGAAGCTGGAAAACAACCCAGATGTCCCTCAACTGAGGAATGGATACAGAAAGTGTGTTACATTTACACAATGGAATACTACTCAGTAATTAAAAACAAGGAAATCATGAAATTTTCAGGCAAAGGGTGGAATCTAGAAAAAAATCATCCTGAATGAGGTATCCCAGAAGCAGAAAGACATAGATTATGTATACTCACTTATAAGTGGATATTAGTCATGTAATATAGGATAATCATACTAACATCTGTACACCTAAGGAAGCTAATCAAGAAGGAGGACCCTGGGTAAGATGTTCAATTTTCATTCAGAAAGGCAAATGGGATGGACATCAGAAGATAGAGAAAACAGGGAACAACTTAGGAGCCTATCACAGAGGGCCTCTGAAAGATTCCACCCACCAGGGTATCAAGACATATGCTGAGACTCATTGCCAAACTTTGGGCATAGTGCAGGGAATATTATGAAAGAAAGATCTGGAGGAGACAGGAGCTCCACAAGGAGAGCAACAGAACCAAAAAAATCTGGAACAGGTGTCTTTTGTAAGACTAATACTCCAACCAAGGACCATGCATGGAGATAATCTAGAACCCCTGCACAGATGTAGCTCATGGCAGCTCAGTGTCCAAGAGGGTTCCCCAGTAATAGGGACAGTGACTGTCTTTGACATGAACTCATGGGCTGGCTCTTTGATCACATCCACCTGAGAATGGGAGCATCCTTACCAGAGGAAGATGATGAAGCCAGTCCTGATGAGACCTGATAGACTAGGTTCAGATGGAAGGGGAGGAGGACCTTCCCTCTCATTGGACTGGGGAGGGGCATAGGAGAAGAAGAGAGAGGGAGGGTGGAGTTGGGAGGGTATAGGAGAGGGGGCGAAACCTGGGATACAAAGTGAATAAACTGTATTTAATAAAAATAAAATAAAAATTTAAAAATTTGTTTTAATTTCCACTATGTGATGCCATTTTGTCTTTGTGTGTTTATGTTCCTGTCCATTCTGGTTTCCATGAAGACAGACCCCTTAGTATTTTTTGTACCAGGAACTACAGGAAGTTATAAAAAAAACCTGACCTAGATCCTGGAAATGAAATTTTCTAACTGCACATCCTTGTCTCTAGTACTGTAAATATCTTAAATCCTTTGTATATCATCTTGATGTCAAAAGGTGGAAAACAATTCATATAAGAGAGCAACCCTCTTTATATAAAATTTTGATGACTTTGGACATAATAAATGTATTCATTTTCAAGAAAAAACTTTTTAAAATCTGTTTTTATCATAGCCTTGTAGGAAGTAAATTATTTACCATGTTCACTTAAATGTAATGGAGGAGATCACCAACTGTTTTTGTGGTCTATATTTTGAAACATTGGAGTAGGTATTGAAGTTTGCTGTATGTGTAGCAAATTCATTCACAGATTTTAATTAAGTCATTCTGATATTCTTTCTGTGGCTGCTGTTCATCTTCTAATGCATTTTCACTTGGTGATAGGTATTTTTCTGCTTCAGTGTGTAGAATGGGATCCCCATCGTCTATGTGGTTCATTGCTTATTTATATCAGGCAATGTGTGAGCATAGTTTTCAAGGAAGGATCTCTGAGAAAGCATGGTGCTTTTGTTTTTCATGTTTTCACAAATTCCTTTCAGGTGTTTGTTTTCAAGCCTTTCTGGATGTCAGTAATTACTCAAGGCTACATTTGAACTCCAGATTCTCATGTGTCAGCCTTCTGAGTACAAATCCAAATGTGGAAGATGTTTCCCCCAATGTGTTCTTATTTGTCAACATACTTTTTACCAATGTTAATGTTAAAATGCTTAATAGCAAGTATATATGTATGTTCATATTGTTTGAAGTTCCATGCTTCTTCATGTTCCCATTAGTTATTATATGGCACCTCATCTTGAAGTACTGCCTTTTAAGAGGATTTATCTAGAGGTGCTAGATAATTATAACAGCAACAAGATTTATTTCAAAAAAAGCATGTTGTGTGTCTGTATAGTGTGACTATGGGTTCTTAGGACATGACAGATATGTGAAGAGTTCTGTGACACTTTGTGGGGTTTATTTTGGTCATTATTAAACGATCTTCAATGTTATGTTATGTTATGCCATTTGTGCATTCCACAAACATTTCCCACTGAGCTCATTGATACTCAAATAAACTTAGTTGAAACATTACATTAGTACAGTCTTCTATTCAGATTACAAACATTGTCATCTAACAATGGAAGAACACGGAGTAATTTGAATAATAAATGCTATTTACAGATGGAACTGATACACTGCTGTCTTTTCTTGGAATGTGTTAGTTCATTCTTAGGAGTAAAGGCTTGTTCATAGCACTTTCTCAGAACTACAAGTGAATTTCAGAGAATTATCTCAATAGGTCACATAGTGCTTGTTGCTAAGCCTGATGATTTGAGCTCAGTCTCTGGGTAGCCTATATTACTCCTAGAGATTTTTCTAATATTTCTATATTTGGGCTGTTGTGTATACAAACTCACACACCATCACATACATAAATAATTTTAAACCAAAATAAGGGACAATATGGTTACTGACCAAAAGACTCTTTGGCTTTCATATTGTGAACTCACACAGGAGAAGTAGACAATAAATAGCTATAAGTTGTCCTCACACTGACACATACATACCATGGTGTAGGTGTATAGACAAACACACTCAAACATTTTGAGATGGATGAAATTAACAAAGCACAGGAAAGCATCCCTTTATTGACAACATCAGAATTGATTTGTAAGTGGAAATAATTATAGAATTTGAAGAATTATTACTGTTCATTAAATGAATAAGGGTTCTTTTGTACATCTTTATTATATCCTTTCATTCCTTGATTCCAGGGTAGGTCATTTAAAAAACATATTTCAGCTGGGCTTAGAGATGCATCCCTATCATCCTAGACCTGGGAGGCAGTGGCAGGTCAGTCTCTCTGAGACTGAAGCCAACTGTGTGCACAGAGTAAGGTCTTTGTTTATTTGTTTTTGAGAATTTGTGTATCCTTGGTTATCCTAGACTCACTTTGTAGACCCAGCAGGCCTCAAATTCACAGAGATCTGCCTGCCTTTTCCTCCCTGAGTGCTGGGATTACAGATGTGTGCCACCATGCCTAGCTCCACATATTGAGTTCTAAATAGAAATATCCTGTCTCAAAATGATTCTAAGAATGTAGACTCTATCTCAAATTATGGATTTTTCTAATATAATTTTACTGGTCTTACAAAGCCTTTTGTTATATTTACTCAAATCAAGACAACTGTGGTAACAAGGAAAATAAAAAGCAATGTGGAAAGTCCATTCACAGAGTTGTAAAAATTCATCAAATCTTTCCTCAGCCATTTATCAAGGACTTTATCCCCTTCAAGTGCTAGGAGACAGAAGGGTTAATGCAGCATCTTCATCCTCTGCATTATAATGACATCATTGGGAAGTAGAGAGTTAGTGGTACTGCTCCTCTTGTGAACCCAGTTTAATTCCTAGCATCCACATCAAATGGCACAGACCTATCTGTATTTCCAAGTCCAGGACATCAGATGTAGATGTCTGGCCTCCTAGATGACAACACAATGAAAACTGTGAAAAGACCAATGCACAAGTGATTCCCTAAGGTAAAGCATATTCTTTAACATATGTATTCTTTTTGCTTAAAAATTAAAGTTGATGTAATTTGGGTGTATAAGTTTTGCCAGTGGAAGCATATCCTTGGTGTCAGTGGAAGCCAGAAGAGAATGTCTGTTCTCCAATGCATGCTTGGAGTTATAGACAGTTGTGAGATCTCTCTTGGGTAAGCCAAGTGGCTGATCACCCAGCTCTCTTAGGTGCTAAGCCATCTCTTCAGGGCTAGAAACATAATGTGAATCAGGGGCTGTTTCTGACATGAACTCTGTTACCTGCTTTTCAATCACTTCATCCTGTTGGGGTTGCCTTGCCTAGCTTCAGTGGAAGAGGATGCACTCAGTCCTGATACAACTTGGTGTGCTAGGGTGGATTAGTGTATTGGGAGTATGGCTCCCCCTTTCTGAGGAGAAGGGGAGAGGGGCAATAGGAATGGATGGTATTACTGGGAGGAGATAAAGGGGGCTACAATTAGGATGTTAAATAAATAAGTAAGCTTATTTTTAAAAAGAATAGTGAATGGTAAGTGTCAATTACATGGAAACATATTCTAAAATAAAGTGTATACGGTAGACATTGATAAAGCTGATTCTCACCATTTACTGTTTTTCATTACCTTACTTTACACAAGGAAATTTTAGTCCAGTGGATGAATAGGTGGGGACACTCAGGAAGCTCTCTGAGAATAACACAACAGTAGCCTGCAGAAGTTTCTTTGTGTACACATACCTATTGTTTCAAGGGTACTATTGAAACACATCAAAACCTAGACTGAATTTTGAGATACGAGGGAAGAGGCTTTTCTGCATTGTAAGATCTTGCTGCTAGCTTAGTTGTGTAACCATGGCAAGAGTAAGTTTTCTCAGTATTCCTTCATCTGGACTTTCCTTCATCTCACTTTCCTTCTCCTTCTCTACAGACACTGAAAATCACATGATGCATGAAACCATTTTTTTTGACTGAATTCTAAAACAGAGAAGTTTCTAAAGATTGTAAACACAGGTAGCAAATGTGTCTTTCATTCTGATGATAGTTTTCTTTACTTACTGGTCTATACTGCTCTAAAGTGACTCTTGGTATTGACAAGGCATGATTTCTTTCATGTCATAACATATAAAAATATTGTTTGCACAATTTAAAAATGTTCACAGAAATGCAAAACCAGTAGTACATAAGATGCTATTATTGATACTGAAAAAAAAAGATGTTGGAATGTAGGTTGATACAGGACCTGTCAGGTCAGAATGGCCTGGCCTTGATTCTCATCACTGCAAATCAAATAAACAAGCAAACAAGCTGATACTGTGTAAAGAGCATTGTAAAACTGATAAAGAGTTGATACTGACATGTTTATACAGAACCTCAGTTGTGGGACTCTACTGTTAATTTTGCAGTATGACAATTCCAGATAGCCTCTGAGCTTGTTGTATTACAGTAGACTCTCTTTCTCAGTGGAGTTCTGTCTTTGCCTGATCTGGGGAACCTCGGATCCTGTAGCCTTAAGTGAAGATTACAGGCTGTGCCCTTTCCTGATAAGAACTCTGTTCAGCAAGTACCTGGGGATTCTTATAAGTACACCACCCTATGCTAAGGAAATCTTAAGTGCCCACCCCCACTGCCCAAGGTTTATAAATCCCTGATTGCATAGGAAAGAAATATGTTCTCTGATACCATCAGCTTTCTGCCATGGCTACCTGAAATTTATCAGTCTTTTATTCTGAAGGAGGGACTTCTCCCCTCCTCCCTGGAGATTTGCCACTGAACTCACAGGGTTTGGATGCCAGGTAGGCTGGCTGGATAGTGCTCCACAAACTCTGTTGACCTCAGATTAAGCACCCACTGAGTTGAGATCTGCCTTTCAGTCCAAGAGGCCTGCCCCTCACTGAATCTGCCTCCTGGCTTGCTGGGAGCCTGGCCAGGCCTCTGATTTCTCTGTAATTCCTTCATTGGGAAAAGACACCTGTGTGTTTAACATTCCTGATATCTGTAGTGATCTGTGGGTGCAGGAACCTTTGTGTCCCCAGCATCCAGCTGCTCATTAAAGAGTGGAAGTCTCCTGCAATTGGGAGAATTAGCTTCTAGCAAGAGTGAGCACCAGAGTTGATTCTCCAATGCAATGTGTTCAGTCCTGATACCATATACGCACAAACAACAAAAATGGACTCAGAAAATTTTATTCATATATTTGGGCATATTCACACATACTTAGCAGGAAATAAATTGGGAAGGAATGGTTTGAGGCCTGGAAAATGGGAAGTGAGATAATGTACTTAATTAACTGTATAAAATAAGTTTTAAATAAAAGAGTAGTAGTTAAGAACAATGGGTGTTGTGACAGAGAACACAGCTCTCATCTCCAGAAACCACATGGTAGCTAACCATTTGCTGTCACTACAGTCCCAGGCATCTCCTGCCTTTTTCTGGTCTCTCTTGGTACTGCACACAGACACATACAAACAAAACACTCATATATAGAAAATAAAAATAGAGTTTAAATGATGGAATTCTCTTTAGTGATGTCAGAGCTCAAAGAGCAACCACAGTCAGGACTATTTAAAATGAATTTCTACTGATCCCTCATTGAAGTGGCTGTGGCCTTTCTCTGAGCCAGTGTGCTCAGGGGGAAAAACAGCCTTAACAAGTTGAAAATGGCTCAGCAAAGGTATTCCTCAGGGATAGCGCTGGTAGATGTATTTTCATTGAAGTTTTCTGAAACAACAAAGAGGAAGCTAAGGGAAATACTTAATTCTCATTGAGAATGGCAAACAGGATAGACACCAGCAGTGGTGTAGGAAAGGGAACAGGACAGGAGCCTACCATAGATTTCCTCTGAAAGGCTCTACCCAAAAGGGGATCAAAGCAGATGCAGAGACTCACAGCCAAACTTTAGGCAGAGTGCAGGAAATCTTATGGAAGAAGTGGGTATAGAAAGACCTTGAGAGGACAGGAGCTCCACAAGGAGAACAACAGAGCCAAAAATTCTGGGCCCAGGGGGTCCTGAGGAGATTGATGCATCAACCAAGGATCATGCACAGAGAGGACTTAGACCACCTGCTAAAATGTAGACAATAGGCAGCTCAGTCTCCATGTCGGTTTCCAAGTAAGGAGAGCAGGGGCTGTCTTTGACATGAACTCTATTTTCTGCTTTTTGATCACTTCTGTCTGGTGGTGTGACCTTGCCAGGCCACAGGAAGAGACAGTCCTGATGAGGCTTGATAGGCTAGCATCAGATGGGTAGGGAGGAGGGCTCCCCATTTCATTGGACAAGGGGAGGAAGATAAGGGAGAAAAAAGAATGAGGGAAGGACCAGGAAGAGATGAGGGAGGGGACTACAATTTGGATATAACATTAATAAATTGTTAAAAATAATAATAATAAAAGAGTAAGTGATGGATCTGTAGGGCCATGGGATCTGGACTGCTATGATTCTTAACAACACTGTTTTGTCACAATTCCCTTTTCATTCTCTGTACATTGGATGTGTGTGGTCTGACCTTGGCATTCCTACCTTTTATTTCCTCTCTCTCTCTCTCTCTCTCTCTCTC